TGATGAGACAGGATTTTACACACACACACACACACACACACACACACACACACACACACACACACTTATACAAACTCATTATCCCTTTTGTTACAGCTCATTTGCTCAGGTGTAAACACGATAATTGGAATCTGAGTTGCATCTGGTGAGAAATGCGCTCTGGATATAAATGTTATCCAGTGCTGATCTGACAGACCTGTTTGGTATCTCGTAAGTGCATTAACAGTAATTTTAAATGGATCATGTAGGCATGAGAGCTTTTCATTACAGTATGTGTTTGCATTTACAAACAAAGGAAAAAGAAGACAGTAGAACCTATACGACTCATAAGGGAATCAAAAGATAAAGGCCCTCATTTGCTCAGAAACATTCTGTTAATCTGACCTTAGCAGACTTTCATCACAAAGGAAAGTGCTCAAATTGGGAAGTGGGGGGAGGTGCTTTTTGTGTGTGTGTGTGTGTGTGTGTGTGTGTGTGTGTGTGTGTGTGTGTGTGTGTGTGTGTGTGTGTGTTGCACATAGAGAATAAGTTTTTATTTTAGTGCCTTATTAAAAAAAAAAAAACAACAATATTCAATGTTTTTTTCCTCAAGTTTTTTTAAACTGCGGGGTGAAAGTAGAAGCTTTTTAGACTTTTTTGAAAAGTCAAACTTGCGGATAGGGGCTTCATCGTGACATGGCTGCATTAGAGTGCCTCGTTATCGCGGGTGACAACTCAGCGGGACATTTCAGTCACCGAAGGCTTTAAGTGGATATGTTTTTGCAACCCACATGTTCTTATACTGTATGTAGGCACAAGAAAAATGCTAGCCAAATAGCACCTATTTCTTCAGGACTAGTGGCATTTGATTGACATTTGAGCGGATCGTAGAGAGCGGAGTGAATGGCCTGATATTGCACCATTTTGAAACCTCATTTGAAAGACTTGATTTTGTTTATGATTCAAATTTAGCAGGATTGTTGATAACACTCCTCTCTGTGGAGTGTCAAAATTAGAAGACTTTATTTTCACTCAACAGGGACTTTGAGCAAACCAACCTCATATGAAAAAACACCATTTTAATATTGGCCTCTTGACATAAGAGTTAATGTATTCAATGGACTAGTTACACAGGATTGAGGTTTTCAGCCAGTGACCCGTGTTCTATCCCATCAAGTCACATCCCCACCATTTAACCGGTCTGCTTTCTACCTCTATTACTACTTGTGGTGCACCGAGGTCTCAATCAATAGCCGGGTCCCTTCAACCATAGAATTTTCTAATCTGCTGTCGCTCTTGCTCCGGTGGAATGTATTTCCACTTTGTCACTTGAAGCTGAGAGCAGAATTGGAGAGAGGTCGTAAGCAAACCCTACAAAACCAAAGTGCATGTGCAATGACACTGTTCATTCAGAAACACAACCAAAAACAATGGCGACACAAATAAGCCTGTCCCCATCAGGAGCACAAAGGCATATGCGTGAATGTGACCGAGTCCTGGAGACTTGAGTGGTTTTAATAATAGTCTGTCACAAGAGAAGTCAAGGATGCTGACAAAGCTATGTTACATATACCACTAAAGGCAATGTGAAAGAACCTACATGCTCTCTTGCTTTATGAAATATTTATATGTTGACAGGAGGACTATATCCAATGTAGGGGACAATAGCGAGAATTCCAAGAACTTTATTTCTTATTGTTTTTAAAGCAGGCAAAGCCTGCTGAGAAAGGTGGTAATTAGAAACCGGCTAACCTATTTGCCGATTAATTGAAGATTGCTGAGGATTATTGAATTTGTGTGAAAATTGAAGGGCATTTTGCATTTGCTTGACTATGTTCAGTTTCCCCAGATCCTTTCAATTCAACTTTAAAACTGGTTCCTCCACAGGAATCCATGTACTGTAACGTAAACATTGACATGGACTGCACTAAAAATGATAAGGAAAAAAAAAAAAAAAACAAGGAATTACTCTTGGAGACGGAATTAACTAACCGTGGAGATTCTGAACCATATCCAGGAGCACAGGAGTTAAGGTCTGACTGTAGTTGTGGAAGATATCCAAAAACAACACTTCTGTACAGGGCTAAAAGGAAAGAGAGAGAAAAGTGATCATTAGGAACATATCACAACATGCATGTGTGCACTCACATTACCAACAAAAAGATCAGCAGGGTGGGTGACACAGAAAAACCCAATTTACTGGCAACATTTCTCACAGATTTATTGACGAGTAAGAGTCACTTCTAATCAGGGAGCCGAATTCATGAACACGGAAGGAATAGGTGCATGGTGACACGTCCTCCGTAAACCGCCCTCATACAGTTGCCCTAACAGCATGCTGATGCAAAGGTCATAGCAGTGCAAAATACGATTGGAACGTAACAATGACTGCCGCTGTCCAAGAAGTCATGAATCTCATTGTCTGATTGCAGGTTGGCACACAATTATCTGTAACATAAATGCCCCATCTCTAATTGCCCCACGGGGATAAATAAAGTTTTCTGAATCTGAATCTGAATCTGAATCTGCTGTTATGTTTTGTTATGCCTCTGATGTGAGAATTTTGTAGGATCTCCGTATAAAAAATGTTTAACCAGCTGTACTGTATAAGGTTGTCACACTACATTGCAAACCAATAGAATGCAAGTAGTTTCCCACTGAGATTAAATAGCAATATTGGCTTAATCAACATTTCAATCTTTTTTTTTTTAAATGGTATTAACACTATTTATTTCTTTTCTTTCACGACTTTACTTTTTTATTTGTTATATGTGGCCAGACCAGCCCTCCCACTGGGTTCTGCGACTAATGCGGGAAAAAGGTTGTGTTTACTCGAGTGTGAGTGTGCCTACTTTGTGACCAGGAAACATTTCCCAGAGTTAATATGATCAGGGAGTCGGGTTAATAGAGGACAAAGGGGATATATTAAAGTAGAAGAAACAAAATGGCCCGAGTTATCTGTATTTGAAAATCAAATAGTTTTTACTCACCCTCAAACTGTACTTCCATGAGTCCCCTCCTGTTTCCTCAACAGCTGCAGACAAGATGGTGAGAGGGAGTCAGATGGTGCTCAATGACATGTAGAAGCCTTCATTTGGAAAGTTTTGCCTCAACCAATCCACTCCTCCATTTGAGCTCAAATCTAATAACCGTCATGCTACACAGTTTAAAACGGCTTTCCATAAAGATGTTACCATGGTTTAACAAAATGGTGCTTTCCAAATTATTTTAGCTTCAAAGGTACTGTAAAGCAATTAATTCATCTTTGTCCAGCATAAAACTGCATGTAATGTTTTCAATGATTCAAGTCCTGCAATTATAAAGATGTGAGACGCTAACATGTAGTATGTAATAAAAATAACTGATTAACCCTTGCTAGTCTGAATAGGAACCATACTGTCTGTCAAGTCTGTCAATAATTAGAAATAGAATCTTTGTCACAAGGGAGTTCTGTGAAATCTGGATTGAATTGATAGATTTACCAAAACTCTCGGGGTCCTCTTCCCACATGGCCAGCTCCTCCTCCGTGAGAAGGAAATAGTGGGAGACAAGCCGGCGTCCGATCTCCGTCAGCGTGGGGTGTGTGAAGAAAGCCGTCTTGATCTTGTGAGCCTCCAGACTCTCCGGTTTGCTGTCTACAATGACAAGACAATGAAGCTGTTAAGCTCAAATATTGAAATGCAGTTAGCACATTGCTCTCTTTTGTCCCTGCCAATATTTCCTGAATTCCAACAATTACTATTATGGCGGAGCGCAACAATGCAGGAAAAAGTCATTTCCAACACAATTTATTCGGAATACTAAAAACAAACACTGCATTAAAATACGTATATGATCAATCAGCCGATAGAGGATGAAGCAATTTCGGTTGTGTTCTCATTTGTGCGACACTGCTTGTGGACCTGTCATACTCGCAGATACACAAGAGACCTCCCGTCTGTCGACATGAGTGACAGGGTGGACTGAAAAAAAAAATAACTCAAATGGCTCCCAATAGCGGAGTCGGTCAGCCAAAGCTCAATCTTCCCTTAGGCTCTTTAACCTTGCGCTTTACAATATTACCCCGTCTGGAAGATGGGAGCACAAAAGAAAATGTATGTTCAGCTCAACTCAGTCTGCTTAAACCAGCTTAAACACACACCGATAGACAGCAGTTGAGTCAAGCCCTGATTGTCAGAAGTCTCCAAAGATTATCATGAAGACTCCTACTTTAACTTCTTGCGCAAGCCACTGGTTAGCTTGTCGTGAGTTCTCAAAAGGTAGGTTGTGTTTTGTTTTAACATGTCACGTTTCGTACATTACAAGAGTGGCATTTTTTGCAACCCATTGATACGAGACTGTTAAAGTGCGACGTAAAACACTTCCTGTGTAGGTCAAAAATGTTTTATGACGGCGGCAGTTTGACAACAGAATCAAGGTCACCACAGAAGGGATTACGATATACTTTTGGGGTACTTCCATAGTGAACACGGGTGTGGAGACGGTGAGGAGCGGCAGAGGTAATGAAACATCTCAAACAAACTGATCCCCTACCTTCGATGTTTTTGGCAGGTTTATAGGCATCGTTCTTAACAATCATCTTGATGAGGTTCATGCACTGGACGATGAAGCGCTCGAAGGTGACGCCTTCCCCGACTGGCGTGAACACGTAGCTCACAGCGAATTCCAGCGAGCACTGGATGAGTGGTATAAATGCACAGGGATGGTACTCCAAGAAATCCAACAACTAAGGGACGGGAGAGAAGAACGCTATAGTTAGATATCACTTTCTTTTTTTAATGAAATACTACTGTCTTCCATCATGATGTGCAACTCAACTCACAACTTTAGTGTAGAGTATGATAGTCTTTTCCAGCTTTTCTCTACAAGTGCTGCCTGTACCAATTTGTCGACCTAAAAACGACACCACAATCAGAAAACGGTTGGACAACAACAGCTGGAGTCCTTGTGGAATTATTCGTAGTAATTGTGCTGTTGCAATGACACGTGAACCAGTGAACGCAGTATGTTTGTCCCCAAAGCAACAGCAATTAGAGGATGGTAATATCATTCCATCAAAATCACCTCCGTAATTTGTGACAGTGCTCTGATTGAGCCCCTCGTTGCATTAGCGAGTGCCATACGGACCGAAGACATTGGCGGTGTTAAACTGACAGCAGAAACCATAAACCATGACAATTAAATTTGGTCGAAGAGTCAGCACCGGCATCTCATCTGTCTCTCTGTGACGTTAAATAGCTCCACCGAGCAAATGTCAAAATGAGTGTGAACACAACCCCAACATTGCATTGAGCAAACACTCTGAATAACACGACTAATTAGGGTCAGTTTTGGGATTATTGGGATCTCTTTTTAACTTTTGTAGTTTGTCAATGTTAATCTGTAAATACATTTGCAGAAAATTTGCTGGCAAAAGAGAGGCCCTGAAATGGCACTGTGCACTACTGTCACCTGTATTAACTGTTATTTCACATTAAATCAACAATAGAAAAACGGCTTCATAAAAATTGAAGAAAGACATACCTTGGTAGCGGCCTAAAGACAACTATGAATCCTTTGTCTTCTCGGCGAAATACAATTACATACCATGTGCCGTACTACCAAAAGATGTCTATCAGATGTCACCACCTGATCTTTTCTGAGGGGAAAAATAATTAGTATCTACTTGTGGTATGACCCACACTCTCCAGCTAGTAGAGCAAATTCCACTATTGAAGAGAATGGGATAAACTGGTGGTTCAAGGACAAACATAAAAGAGGAACAGAAAACTACAACATGATCGCAAAAAGGGCCCCAAAACAACAGTTCATGCAGAGGACCTTTGACCTCATATGGCAAAGAACGCCAAATGCTTTGTTGCTGGCTCAGCTGTGAGATGATAGCACATTCCAACTGCTACAAATCCCAAAACGGGCATGCCGCCGCCAGTGAGAGAGAAATATTGGAACTGAGATTTGTGGCGGATATATTGTTTATTGACTGCTGAATCCTTACGGTGTAAAGATTTGAGTGTTGCAAAGAAGGGGGGGAAGCAGCCATGATGAAAAACAACTCAGAATGAATAAATACAGGCAGGAATAGAGACAAAGAGAAACTTATTCGAAGCAATGATTCTCTTTCTCCAAAAGCGCAATTCGTTGCTTAGAAACTCGACTACTTGTAGTTTAGAAAAAAAGAGTGCCGCAAATTTGGCAGTCTTTCATCATGTTTTTCATTCAACAACTGATCGTGTCTGAGAGATGCAAGAGGCAAAGTACTCACAACATTCCAGGAACTGTTTTAGCCTTTCAAACACTGCATTCAGGAAACCCTAAAAAGGGGAGCAAGAGGAGACGCAAGATTTAATTGCACACATTTCTGCAGTTCAAGCGCTCAGTATTTAAGCAAAGGTACACCTGCCTAACCACTCGGGAGGATAAATAACCGTGCCGGCCGCACATAGGATGAAAGGGAATCAATTTTCAGAAGCCTGGTGTAGCCGTGCCTAAACAAATGGAATGATAGATGGTGATGCAGTCTGTTAAGATCTGCATTAGTGTTGAGCAATGAGGTCAACGGTGGTGTCATTAATCACCCACCTTGCGCCCACAGCCCAGCAACCGCATAGGCCCTCCAAAAAGAGTGAAGTTGAGAGGGGTTTATGAAAATAAAGGAGGAGATGATGAAAATGACTTTCATGGCATATCATTTGTTGAGCCAGGTGGGTGAAAAGCACTTAACTAATGATCGAATGGAACATATGGGGATGAGTGATGAGAAAGAGACTGCAACTATATCTATTTTTCATCACAATTAGTTATGATAGGACAATAGTGACAGACGGTAATAACCGCTTGTGAAGATACACAAGCATAAGAAAAGTAAATGACTTTGAGATTCTTACTATAAACTACAAATGGGAAGCAGAGAAGATATTGGGCAGTGCTGGAAGGCACTGCATTATATAAGCGAAGGAATAATGCAATAAAAGCAATTTGTGAAACTGTTGTAATGTACAAAAGAACATCTTCTCCTCAGAGGATAGGTTTTATTGGGCTGGCAAGTCTGATTCGCAGTTTTGTGATAGTTGACGACATTCAACAATATGGCAGGCGTGGATAAGCTTTCTGATGCCTTTCCACTGCGCTGCCCTGCACGACTTGGCTTGGCTTGACCTGCATTAGTTTGGAGCGGTTATATTTCCACTTAAAATAGTTCCACAGAAAACTACATTATTGGAGGAAAACAAGGGTCTTCTCTATTGTCAGCATGAGGAATCGGCAATTTTATGTAGGCATCTGGAATGCGGCAGCAAAGTGGACTGCGGAGCAAAATACCCGGAGCATCCAGAGCTAGGGCAAGAGGACGCTAACATTAGCATGTGTGTTGCCATTTGACGTGGAGCCTCAAATATCATAATGATGCTACTATTTCTCAACCACTGAATGACCAGCTGCGGCTGTGTCAATAGCGAGATGAGTAGTTATTGTGTAGTGAAAAAGGGGCATTAGCCTGCACGTACAAATTTAGAGCCAGTGAGGTTTTCAGGAATTATCTGATATTAAAATAAAAATAAAGACATATCACAGTAAAATGAGACACATTTGGTGAAAAGCTCTAATTGGAGCTACACACTAACATGCAAAAAAAAAAAAAAAAAAGTGTTGTGAGTCAGAAGGAAGCTATTATTGTTTTTACACACTGTGATATTAACAGATGTGTTGACTGCTGCTGCTGCTGCTAAAAAAATTTAAAAAAAAATATCACACTTTTAAAAACACATTTCCCTCTTCTGACATGACCTCCAAATCCGGGGAACCTTTGTATGTATCGAAAGACTACATTGTTGATTCAGGTGATCCATATATACAACAAAGGCTACGACTTCAACTGTGTTTCAAAAGACAGTAGCACAATGCGGCTAAAATAAATACATTGAGTGCCACGTCTGTTTGAAAGGTAGCCTTACTCTGGCAATTACTGAGTAGAAGAAAATCCAGGGATGCCGAATGAACATGTGAAAGGAAAGTGGTATTGCAAGGTAAAACAGGAACTGGCCTGAGATACAACATGTAAATCCAATCTGGACATGAAATATTAACTCTAAAGCCATTATGTCCGCCTGCTGAGCTGGAATAACCAGCTTGAGGCAAATGACATTTTAATGTGAAAGTTACGGCCGCTGCAAGACCTTGAGCCTTCTCGCTAGAACTTAACTCATTTGTGCTACATCAGACTGAGTGATTATCATTGATTTAAAAGAAAAAAAATGGCTTTGGCCTCGACAAGTTCACCGACCGAGACTGCAAACTAAAAAAACAGACAAGATAAACGTTGAAAATAGAACGTCTGTTATGGAGATCATTGAGCGAACAAGCGCCATCAACTGAATGAGCCCGACCGTAAATGACGCGATGACCTTAAATCGCTGAATCCAGCTTCTATATACCCCAAGGCTACTTGAAGATGAAATACAGTAGAAGAATCACTAATTAGATCAATTGCATATTACCATGAACATACTCAAAGCAAAGACAAATCTTACGTTGGTAAAGACATGACAACAGATCATTTTATGACGCACTTGGACTGACTAAAAGAAAAAAAAAATCAAAATAAAAGCACAGTATATTTTACGTTTTACCATGACATCATAGTCTTGGAAAATACAATGTATTGAATATTATTTATATTATTTTATTAATTCACATACTCGAAGTGCGAGAATAAAATAAATTGTAAAATAAGGGGTAATATTTTTGTGCAGCAACAGTTGCAGAAGACACATCGACACGTTCATTAGCATCAGGTTCACTTGCTTGTCTTTTCTCCTCGAACTCAAGTGATTTGTGAACAGTGCGCATATACCTAATGAAGGTTGTTTGTGGAAAAGAAAAAACCAGAGAAAAAAAAATGCTCTTTATCAGGAGCCATTGTTGAATTCAAAGAGCGCTTTGAAGTGAGTTCATGACAGGATTGTTCATGACCAACATCACTTCACTTATAAGTTCCATGGCATCACCTCCCATTAACTATTCATCACAATTATCATCTTTTACAAGCACTTTCAAGCACAATCAAACCTACGTATGTTGGCGGCAAGTTAGCGAGGAGGAAAAAAAAACCCAAAAAACAAGCAGACGTGATGACAAGTTCATGTTGACATGAATACTTTGGGGCTCGCTGAAGCCAACAATGGAGATGATGGTAGCTGAAGCGAACTGCGTACGTTGTTTTCGCGCAGTTAAACCTTTACTTTCGGTGAGTTTCACATCGTAGTTTGGTTTTGCAGGGTTAGAAAATGTCGTGATAGGCAGTCTGCCAGTAGCTGGCTCTATTTTTGCTTGACGGTTGTGGTGTTTGAACGTCAAGTGGCTGAAATTAGGTGAGATGACAGCTCACGTGATGTAAGTCCATCATACATTCTGACAGTTCTGTTCAAAATGTTTGAAATGACTTTTTTGTTTTTAACCAATTTATTGTTCAGATAGCACCATCATAAGGGCGTTCCTACTACATTCAAATAAATAAATAAATAAATAAATGACTGAAGAGCAAGCAGTCATCTGTGGTTCAAAAGGATGAGACATTAGCACATTTATTATTTTCAAGTGTGAGCCGGGCAAGCAAAACAAGAAGACGACTCGGAGGTCATAAGGTGATGATGGGATGTAAAATGAAATTGCTTCATGGATTTGGACTTTGTTTACGGCGACAGTTGGAGAAGGACTCAAACTAAACTCTTTGTTCTTTGAAGACACAGATGGCTGCCGGCATTTCAAATCGCCACGGCTTTTTCCACACGGAATTAAAAAAGGAAGCTTTGAGAAATGCTGAAATATCTTTTTCCTGGGAGAATGAGAAATTTAAGCAAACAGTAACAACACTCACCATCACTTCCATATTCTGTTGTGGCTCTTGGAATCCATGGACGGTCAACTTGCGTAGTACTGAGGAAGGGGAAAACACATTGAAGAGCATTCAGAATGTTTTGTTCACGATACAGTGAAAACTTCCTCTTTAACTTATAATTACAGCGGGCAATTCAGTCGGGTCAAAAATTTATACAGCTGACTTTAAAAACAATACCATGAATCACGGTGCTGAATTAAATACATAAACAGTGACGGAACAGTCATTAAATAAAAGCGATGTATGAACACAAGTAATGCTCTTGACAAACGGTTAAAAACATGGAAATTCAGACAACTTGTTCTGGAAGTGAATTTCAGTAGGTTGGCAGCTCTGTGCCACGACTTGGGCTGGTATCGCTGTTTCTGGAACGGGCTCACTAGCCTTTATTGATGATCGAACTCATGATGGAATGATCACTTAAGGCAATTTACAGAAAAATCCATCCAAACTAATTGGGAGAAGCTTCATCATGCAACAAGATAATGACCCAAAACATTCGGCCAACACAACAAAGGACTTCATCAAGGGGTGGAAAGTGGAAGGTGCTAGCCAAGTATTTTAAATCAAAGTAATTTAGAACCGGTAAACTAAAAAAAATGCTTGTTTGTTTTTTTTTTTGTCATGAATCTGTGTAAAATACCTTTGGATGATTTCAAATCAGTTTTATGCCAAAGAAATCACGTCCTATTCACAGGATTTTACGAAAGTATTTTAAACACAGTATATGAATATCGGACCGAGTGAAAAAAAATGCTTGATGAAGGGTACTTTTGACAACACATTACGACACCATTCAAAATCTATAAAAAAAGGTGTGTTCCCAGAGTGCACTTCCTCGTGCCAACTACCTTTAAGAGACAGCAGTGTTCTTTCTAGCGATGCCATTGCTGCCGTCTCGTCACGGGCAAAGATCTGCTGGAGGAAGCAGTCCGTGTGGTGGCTCCACAGGGAACACGCGAAGCTGTAAATGCCCGACGCCAACTGCCAACATGCACACACAAAACAGTCAATCGCACGCTGATCAAATCATTCTGGATCAGTGGACACTTTCAACAACACGCCGGTGAGTGCGTGGAAAGAATACATCTTAAAATAGCATTTCCCATGTAAAAATACTGTAAAATGACAATGCCGGAGAAGCAGCTATGCTAAAAGCTAAAAAACAAATTAGACACAATGTTGAAGAAAAACACAAGTAGGGAGCAAATAAGGATCTCAAGAGTCACGGCGGCTAATTTAAGTTTCAATGAACTGGCTAGTTCTCTTACTCCCATAACATTATTTGGGCCCCAAACCAATTACAAATGTCTCTGGGAATGCATATGTACTCCAGTCGAGCAAAAAAAGATGATCAAAGGCAAACAAAAGCACTGCCGGTCCTTTTAACAGTGCAGTGCATCGTGTGGCTCCCTACCTCAGACAATCAGCCAGGGCACCGTAATGAGCTTTTGGTTTTGATTTTCATTCTAATAAAAGTGTACACACACACACACACACACACACACACACACACACACACACACACACACACACACACACACACACACACACACAAATTGTGGCGTAGGACCCAAGCATCACTGAATACAAGTAGATGCAAAAAGGCATATTTTACACACCGTAACATGGGCTAATTCCAGCAAAATCTCACTGCGCAACAACATCCTTTCCCCGTCTAATTAAGCTTCTTCAAAAGGTGAGTACTGGTAGTCTTTTTTTGGGGAGTTTATTTATTTTTCTATACAGTGGTTCACATCACTGGTCTTTTAAAAGCCAAATGCGAAGGTAACCATTTTGTGGCAGTACATGACTATGTGGCTCATTTCGCATGAAAATAATCACATTTAGAAAACATTAAACCACATTATTAAACAGTTTGGCACCTTCTGAGTAGTTGGGTCCCCAATGTCAATTCTTCTCTGTTGGTACCCTGTTGTGCTTAGTAACTGACTTCCAGCATATACAGTACAGTACGCACGTCAAAACAGCTCAAGAGCCAAAATGTCCGAAGCTGTTCAAAACGTATGGAACCATACATGAAAGGGAGTCGAAGGATAAAGGCGGGAATGTTGAACTGAAAATGACGGCAAACACCTTTAGAAGGTGATCACCATGAACATCAAAAATGCTCAAAGAGAAATATTTATCAACAAATGAAAGGAGACCCAAGAGAGTAACTGCAAATCCACCAACGATCACGGCATGAGGTAGGTATGTGTCTAGAGTTCAAGGATTTTTTTTTTTTAAAATGACAGAAATGTCTGGAAAAGTATGTGGAGATGTAGGAAGCTTCCAAAGCTGAGGCAGTAGAGCAGAGCTTTCCTTAGTCTGTTTGATCATTTCTTTGCCCTCAAACCATGTTTCATTCTTCAGCTATCTTTTTGCTATAGTGTTATGTTCGTGAAAATATTGGATGGCATTTAAAAGAAAAACTCAGAAATTGGAGAGACTCGGAGCTTCAACGGAGGGAACATTGCCTTGCATAAACACACACACACACACACACACACACACACACACACACACACACACACACACACACACACACACACGTCAATCATGCGTAAAAACGGGCACACTTGTATGGAAAGGGAATGGGGCTTCCATTAATCTAACGTTTGACAGTCTAACAGCAGCTAAACAGCATCACCTACAGGTGGCACATGGAACTGTGCAGTGGAAACAAACCACAATATTGGAAAAGAGAGGTCGCGGTATAAGACAAAATAACACAATTGAAGAGAGAAAATCTGTCCACAAACAAAGCGACTGATGACTTACATCCTGAAATAGCCGTTTGTCCTGTGCCAGACGTTTCGACGAGAGAGTTTTGGTGACGTGATAGAAGGTGAGCAGCGCTCTGTGCTGCTGCAGGCCATCCTGGACCTTGACAGACTCCAGCAGAATGGGGATGAGCTCCGGCCATTGCCGAGGGCAGTCCAGCCTGGCTACCTTGGCTATCAGTACCGCTATCTGGGTTGCTATCTGTTGGCAAAGCACGCACATACACACATAAATGTATGCATACACTCAAACAAACAAACACACGCACGCACGCACGCAGAAAAGAGAATGACCTAAGGGAAAAAGCATGAAACGGCAGAGGAGGAATGTGCCAGTGCATTTAGTTGGAAATAAAGAATCCTTGAGCGAAACCACTTGAAAACACGTCTGCTTGAGTAGTTTGTTGCTTTAAAATGGAGTTCCATATTCAAAGTCAAACGCAACCCATTTTCGGATGCTGGTCAAACACAATTTCCTGAAATCAATTATATTTGTTGTCATTTGTTTAAGAAGTCCTAAAAGTCACCATCATAAAACCTTCATTATCTGTACAGTTAACGTTTTAACATGATTAAATTATCTTTACATTATTTTAGCACGCATATGGTGTTTCTTTAAAACAAAACAAAACGAAAAAAAGTAAGTATCATGACAGTGATTCCACAGTGCAAATTTGTCCAGAGAATTCTGTGCAACCTTAGGGGTACAGTATTCAAATTCAGAGGTTAGGGTACACACCAACATCAAAAATTTCCTAGCTCACGTCCACACCCGGAGGCAGCGAGCTGGGTCGTCTTATCTTTGAAATAGTGTCAGGCGGCACTTTAGCCAGCACTGCATGCTGGCCAAGAATGCAAATTACTTCATTCTCATAACATTCATCTTGCCAGCTGTGTCCAGTGGACAAGCAGAACAACCCTGAATGGTTGAGTGCGTATTCTGACTCTCAAAGAGCTCTTCCGTGGTCGCAATCATAATCATTGTATTGCTGTCATTTCCTTCAACTTATGCCAACCTAATTGCCCCCCCTCCCCACAACCCCACGCCCAATTATTGCTTTGTTAATATCAGCATTGTGCAACAAATCTTTATACATATATATATATATATATATATATATATATATATATATAAACTTCAAGTAATCAAATTACCGCATTGACTTTGTGTGTCTTATTTGTCCCTAAAAGACAGCCGTGTGTTACGCATGTAGCCCAGGTACCGCTTTCCATGCATCACGACACGTGCATGCTGATGCAATAGGTTCACTTTCACATGTTGTGCATGCGTGTTCGTGTCTCCTCATAAGCCGCATGCATCCAACATCCCCTCCTTTACGACGCGTTCTGTATTCTCGATGTGTGTATTGACACGGGCTCCGTGTTCATGTCAAGGGATGTGGAACGGCACCACCAAGGTTGCGGTGAAGACGCTGAAGCCGGGCACCATGTCCCCCGAGGCCTTCCTGGAGGAGGCTCAGATCATGAAGAGGCTGCGCCACGACAAGCTGGTACAGCTCTACGCCGTTGTGTCCGAGGAGCCCATCTATATAATCACCGAGTTCATGAGCCAAGGTACACGCTTGGTCTCCATGTCATGTTTGGTCAAATGGTGGAAAAGTCCAGTTGCGAGTTTGTAAAACGTGCTCAGCTTCGATATTTTCACTCTTCGCAAAAGTGAAGAACCATCACTTCCTATTTCATTCTTTCCATACAGGAAGTTTACTGGATTTCTTAAAAGACGGCGAGGGGCAAAACCTGAAGCTACCCCAGCTTGTGGACATGGCGGCACAGGTTATTTGACAAATTAACAAATAATATTCAACCCTTTCATGCACCCTGTAAGCTGATAACGTGATAAGATGTCCACTGTTGTAACCGCTGTCCCTGAAAGGGTTTTAAAAAAAAGTCCCTGCAGTGCACATTTGACATTATAACGCGATTGTGGCTTTTTTAGATCGCGGCGGGGATGGCCTACATCGAACGGATGAACTACATCCACAGAGACCTGCGGGCCGCCAACATCCTTGTCGGAGACAACCTGGTGTGCAAGATCGCCGACTTTGGCCTGGCAAGGCTCATCGAGGACAACGAGTACACCGCCAGACAAGGTAAGTCAAATTGTGTGAGCGAGTGTGCGTCCGAGTGAGTGAGTGCGTGTGTGTGTGTCTGTGTTTATACACACCTATGTAGTGTATATCTGCAACACGGGAATATGAAAGCACGCTGCCTTGTTGCCATGGTTGCAGGGGCCAAGTTCCCCATCAAATGGACTGCGCCGGAAGCTGCGCTGTACGGACGCTTCACCATCAAGTCGGACGTGTGGAGTTTCGGCATCCTGCTCACCGAGCTCATCACCAAGGGACGCGTGCCCTACCCAGGTAAAAAAGTTTTTGAACATGTCACAACTTTATGGATGACTTGACGTCACGTGCCACATGTAACACACACACACACACACACACACTCGTGTGAGATCCAGTCAAAGAGCTGCATGAGAGGTAATGGTGTTTCCTTTCAAGCGTTGCTAGTTCAACAAAAAATGATGAGTAGAATAAATGATTCTGCTACAACACTTTAAATGCTGGCAACCGGTTCGGAGTGTACCCTGCCTACTGCCCGATGACTGATGGGATAGGCTCCAGCACGCCCGCGACCCTCATGAGGATAAGCGGATTCGAAAATGGATGGATGGATTCTCTCCAATTACAAAATGAAAAATGTTGCTGCATGCTTTGAATGGGAAAGAGTCGTGCCGTTTGGCGGACCTTGTGGAAATTTGTACCTGTTAATGTTCGGATAAATGAGGGCTGAAAATGCCATTTTTTTTTGTACAGCTCTGGATCTCATTAGATCATGCAGATATGCCTAATGTTGTACTCTCAGTATGCGTCGTGCATCGCTTCACCATTTCCCCCTTCTCCTCCTCCTCCTCCTCTTCTTCCTCTTCCATCCCCGGAAGGCATGAACAACCGCGAAGTGCTGGAGCAGGTAGAGCGAGGCTACCGGATGGCCTGTGCCCCGGGCTGCCCCGCCTCACTCCACGAGCTCATGCTGCAGTGTTGGCGGCGCGAGGCCGACGAGAGGCACACCTTCGAGTACCTGCAGTCCTTCTTGGAGGATTACTTCACCGCCACCGAGGCCCCGTACCAA